GGTGGCAGTAGGTGGTCTCGCAGGTACCCTGGGCCTAAGCCATGGAGCGCTTCAAAAATCATAATTAACACCTTGAATCGCACCCGGAAAACAACTGGCAACCAGTGCAGGCTGCCTAAAAGGGGTGTAAAATGGGAGCACCTAGGTACCCCCATGACAACCCGCGCAGCCACATTCTGGACCAGCTGGAGCCTCCGGGTGCTCTTCAAGGGCAGCCCCATGTAGAGAGCATTACAGTAGTCCAGGCGAGAAAGGGCGAGGGTGTTAGTGACTGTGCACAGGGCATCCCGATCCAGGAAGGGGCACAACTGTGATGGATCTCCTTTTTTAATGCAACTCTGGAAACAAATACTATGGGGGTAAGACACCCATAACACCCCTTGGGGGGGGGGAGTGTTCTGCTAAGATACATCATGTTGTGCCTTACAATGGTTTCTACCATACTGCCATAAAATGGCTTCTATTCTGCTGTGCAGTGGAGTCTCCATGGTAACTGCTTCACAGTACTCCACAAGGAGGCTCCCTCTGGTAAGGGGCAAAATACAACATTAGAAATCAAGATGGTATCACTTTTCTTGATGCTCCTGGAGGCACAGGGAAAACATTTGTAACTAATTTAATTGTCAACAAAATCAGGGCTTTTCCTGTCTAATACAGGATTAGGATAAATAAATATCCGAGCAACACTGAGTTATCAGCTAGTTCAGTTCTAAAGAAGGACTAGGGGTGACATGGTGTGAGTGTTCTAATATTTAAGGAGTTGCCACAAACAAGAGGGGGGTCAATCTATTCTCCAAAGCAACAGAAGGCAAGCCAAGAAATAATGGATGGAAACTAATCAAGGACAGAAGCAACCTAGAAGTAAGGAGAAATTTCCTGACAGTGAGAACAATTACCGGTACTCAGTGGAACGAGTTGCCTTCGGAAGTTGTGGATGCTCCAATACTGGAAGTTTTTAAGAAGTGATTGGACAATCATTTTTCTGGAAGTGCTATAGGATTTCCTGCCTGAGCAGAGAGTTGGACTAGAAGACCTCCAAGGTCCCTTCCAACTCTGTTATTCTGTTGCTGCTGGCAATGTGCTTAAATCAACAGTTAAGGCAAGTCCAGACTTCAGATAACAGGGATAAAACTGGTGTTGCCAGACTTAGTAAATAAGTAATGAAGAAAAGTTTGCTGCTATATGGACATGAGAAAAATAGGGTAACTCTCTTTGGCTCATTCTGTCCCATTTTATCACTAGGCAGCAGTGGGGGATTTGAACGTTCAAGAGGTCCGTTATTCTCCTGACACAAAAAAGCTACTTATCTGTCTCAGTGAGGCATATGAAAGGTATACACATTTCAAATGCACATTTCTTTAAATGATTGGATGTAAATTTATGCACTCTCATCTCCCTTCCTTAGTTGATTTCCTTCATTTCTTTGATCCCGCACAAGCTATAGGAAGGAGACATTCCTTTTAACTCTTCCTGTTAATTTTTGCCTTGCTCACATTGCTCCAGCTTGACGCCCTCCAGATTTTTGGACTATACCTGGCACTTCTCAGCTGGTTGGGAATTCTACTTTCTGGGAATTCCTAGTCCATTTAGGGCAGACGTGTCCAACCTTGGTGACTTGAAGACTTGTGAACTTCAACTCCCAGAATTCCCCAGCCGTCCGAGTTGAAGTTCACAAGTCCACAAGTCATTGGACACCTCTGATCTAATAGATACCACAGTGGGGAATCCCATTTTGGATAACCTTCTTATTACTGGCCCTTTTTTGTTTCTACTAAGCTTAATATTTTGGTTTCAAATCTATATTTTGCATGTAAAATGTGCCAACAGTCAGAGCTAAAGCTTACAATAGCAATAGCACTTAGACTTATATACTGCTTTACAGTGCTTTTGCAGCCCTCTCTCTAAGCGGTTTACAGTGTCAGCATATTGCCTCCAACAATCTGGGTCCTCATTTTTTTAAAAAAAATAGTTGCAGGCAGCTGGCACTCAGCAGAAGTAGCCTGCAGTACTGCACTCTCGCTACTGCATTACCGTAGCTCATTTACCATTGGTATTATAGTAATAAAAAAATACAATATTGTTCAGTTCATTGTTCTCATTGGTATTTTACTTTTGCATTTTCAAGAGTATAGACATGTTTTGAGTCCTTAACAGTCAATTTTTGTCACCAAGGTATGATCTGGAGAATTTAAAAGTGGATGCCCAACGTCTTTTGTTGGCTGACAAGACTGGAAAAATAAAAGGTGTAATAATCACAGTTAAGGGAGATCATCATAAAAATCCTGACAGCTATGATTTTTACTCTCGTTATTTTGCACCATGGAATGGCATTTCTGAAGATCCTGTAACAGGTAAGTCTGTGTATGGAGGGCTTTTCCTGTTTTTATTGGATATAGGTGAATAATTCTTATTTATGAACAGTACAATATAATAGCAGCAGAAGCTCCAAAATAATATTTCAACTGTAAGAGGAACAAAACTTTGTGGAAATGTAGCTTTTCATATACAACTGCTATCTATAAAAATCTGCACCAATGAATTAGTTTGTCTAACTGTAGAAAGAGTTAGAGAAGAGCAACAAAGGTGATTAGGGGGCTGAAGAATAAAATATACAATGAATGGATTACAGGAATTGGGTATGCCTAATCTAAAGAGAAGGACTAAGGGTGACATGATAAGAATCTTCTAATATTTAAGGGACTGTCAAAAAGAGGACTATTCTCCAAAATACCTGAGGGCAGAACGAGAAGTAATAGATGGAAATTTAGCAAGGAAAAATCCAGCTGGATCTAAGGAGAAATTTCCTGACAGTGAGAAAAATTAACCAGCGGAATGCCTTGCCTGCAGAGGTTGTGGGTGCTCCATCACTGGAGTTTTTATTAAAGAAGAGACTGGACAGCTATTTGTCCGGAATGATACAGGGTCTCCTGCTTGATCGGGAGTTGGACTAAATAGAAGACTTCCAAGGTCCCTTCCAATTCTGTTACACTTTTATCGTTAATGTGCCTTAGGACTGTTTGATGACATATTTTTGAGGTAACATGATCTATGATTTTTTTTCTTTACTACGTACATGATAAGGTTATGGGGCATTTTGGAAATAATGCAGAAAAGGCATTTTGGAGTGCACATAAGTTTGAATGTAACCAGAGGTGGGCCTCCCTGCGTTCGGGAGAACCCATAGCTAACATTATGGCCAGTTTGGAGAACTTCCAAATCCACCCCTTGCTGGCCCTGCCCACCCCTGTGTTAGATCTGTGGGCAGAGAACCCGTTGCTGAAATTTTTGAAGCTCACCCCTGTGTTAGATTAAAAGTCTATCAGGTCAGGGATGACACAACCCAACACACATTCAGGAAAGTATCCTTGAAGCAGATTTGATCCATTGAGACACGGGTGGGATTACAACACAGAATGGGAGACTAAACAATTCAGAAATACAGCGAATAACTGAGGGAACATTTCCACTGCATGTATTTTGCTGATAAGAAATTCATGATAGAAATTGCATTAACTTACACCCTTGGAATAATTACTATTCAAAGTTAAGATATGGTAAAGTGCTTTGAACACTGATCTGCTACGACATCGTTCTCACAGCTATGACATCTTATTTTTCCTTAAGGATCTGCTCATGCTGTATTAAGCAGCTACTGGTCACAGCAACTGGGGAAAAACAAACTATGCGGTACGAATTCCTATGATTTTACAGAGTTTCCCTTTTAAGGTCTCTCAGTATAATCTGCCAAAATTATATTTGCAATGTCCTCCTGAACTCTTGAACTCAAACAAGAACCCGGCTTGTTTCATTGGGTAGCCCTGATACTGTACAATTGGCACAAATTCAGCCATGCTTCCCTGCCAAATTTAATCAAAATGAAAAAAAAACCTCAGGCATAATCTTTTCTTCTAGTTTTTACTATAGCTTTAATTCTAAAATTAAGGATTACGACAAATCATTGGCACTTAAATCAGTGTCCATTTACAGGTATAGTTCAAAGTTATACAAAAGTAACACAACCATTTTTTTTACACGTATGACCACTGCAGCACCCCCATAGTCACATGATCAAAAATTGCATGCTTGGTAGCTGATTGATATTTATGATGGTGGCAGTGTCCTAAGGTCATACAATCACTTTTTGAGACCTTCTGACAAGCAAACTCAAGGAGAAAGCCAGATTCACTTTACAATTCTGTTATGAACTTAACAACTGCAGTGATCCACTTAACAACTGTGACAAGAATGGTAGTAAAATGGGTCAAATCTCATTTAACAACTATCTCACTAAGCAACAGAAATTTTGGGCTCAGTTGAGGTCACACACTGAGGACGTCTTGTATTTTTTGGAGAAATTTAGTTAAAATCTATATATAAAAGGGTGTGTGTGAGTGTGCATGTGTGTGTATTCCAGCATATCTGAAATGCTGCGAGCAATTTCAACCAAACTTGGTACACAGATTACTTATTCTCTGGAAAAAAAAATACTGTGGGGATAAGATATCCCTAACACTTCTCGGGATGTGTGTTATGTTAAGATACAGCCTGTTGTGCCATACTGGCTTCTACTGTACAGCACAGTGGAGTTGCCATGGTAACGGATTCACAGTACTCCACAAGGGGGCTCTGGTAAAGGGGGAAAATCCAGCATTAGAAATTATGTTTGGTCCAGACATTTCCTCCTATAAATAAATACCTGGACAATGCTGAGTTTATATATTTCATCTTTTCCAGTCTGGCCTGTGTTTATAGTGTAGGTAATTGTGTTAGATTCTCTTATCTATCTGCTCTTCATCAGTGATCAGCAAGTCTGCATTTTTAATTTGGTCTGCATTGTTAATTTGGATAGAGAGAGAAGCACATTTCCTGCCTACCTAACTAATTCTGTCATTTAGCATTTCAGTGCTCCAGTCGTGGAGGAGAGTTGAAGATTCTGCTCCGGCAAGATGGAAGATTAGATATTGGTGGACAAGCATGTTTTGTGTTAGAGGGTTTTTTGGCTTTTTGAAAAATAATTAAAAGTGATCAATAATTACATGCTTCCGTTTGTTTGGAGCCGCTGCTGATACGGATTTGTGTTTTACATAAAATGTTATGGTTGGGCATTTAAGTTGGTCTTGATCCTGGCAACTACATGGACATGTTTTCTTGGCCACATTTTCAGAAGTAGGTTGCCATTGGCTTCTTAGGGCCAAGAGAAAGTGTCTAATCCAAAGTTACCCATTTGGTTTTTGTGCCCAGAGGAGACTGGAACTCAGGTCTTCTCAATTGCGATTCAAATCCCTTAAGCAATAGCATTTAGGCATATATATATATATATATATATATATATATATAT